GTGTGTGAGAGAGAGAGAGAGAGAGAGAGTGTGTGTGTGTGTGTGTGTGAGAGAGAGAGAGAGTGAGAGAGAGAGTGTGTGTGTGTTTTGTGCTGTTGGCAGTGAGCTCTACTCCTCCTCCTGACTCTCATGCTACTTCGCCTTTTAGTGTTTTGACTTGTAAAAAGAGTTGCTCTTGATTTGCTTTTGCATCATCTCTCTGTGTGCCACCTGATATAAAGTCTAAATGCAGCTTTAATTTGGCTCATCTGTATTTGATCATCTTTTATAGACTGTTGAATGATATATGTTATTACGCTGCATGGTGAGTAAAGATAATTAACAGTTTTGATATTTGTAATATGTAATTTCATCAATTAAAAACCCAGGTTCAGGGTTTAACTAGTTCAGCTGAATGTGATGAGGTGTTACGCGTGAGCAGCATCACTGAACACAGCTTCACATGTCCTGCTCTGATTCATTCAGACACTCAGGGAAACCCCATCCGTCGCCTCAGATAAAGAGTCACACTGCTTTCTCATACAGCGCCTCAACGGTGACACTTCACCAGGACTTCATTCAACTGCTTATTAGAAAGTCTTACATAGATGTCAGGGGGCTACTGACACATTTTGGTTTTAACAGATTCATTCCTCTCTCTGTCTGATCTGAGTATTTTAACCAACACACAGCACTGGAGTCTCCTCACCTTTATGTCAACTAAACACCCCAATAGTGGTGAACCGAGCTGAATAAGTTGCCTCTAAGGCTTCGTATGAGGACTGTATGAACACATCCAGCATTTCCAACAGCAGTTTTGACGTTATCGTTGTGTTAAGAGTGACACAGAAGACAATAGGACATCTGATTTGAGCAGCCAGAGCGTCCAGACTGAGACAGATCTGTAACATTGGATTTTTGCAGGCAGTCTGAATGTAGACTAATATACACAACATTACCCAACACTTTTTGCACTAAACCTTGCTTCTGTGTATGACATAAACTAAAACTCTAAGTAAAATAAACACTGAAATGAACACACATAATTATATATATATATATATATACTTATTTTGCCAAGGCAACTTTCATTTATTTTAACTTTATGTACTACTAAAAATAAAAACATTAAATATATAAAATGTATCAAAATATTTATATCAAAATAAGAATGAACAATAATAGTATGCCAAAGAAATAAAGCTGCCCCATAGGTAATGGAGTGTAACATAAAGAGCTCAGTAAGGTTCTGCTGACCTCTGCTGGACACTGCACATGCGTCGACATCGTGACAGAGGCTGATTACAGTCTAAAGCAAAGCTTCTCAACCCTCCTATGACTGGAAATCATGTCATTTTCTCTGTTCAAGCTTAACCAGCATTATCATATTTCATATGCACATGTCTAAAGCACTAAATGATCAACATGATCAAATTTTGCTGATAAACCTGTTTCATACACAATCTGCTCCATGTCTTCTGTCTTCTGAGTGTTTTATCCAGTCAAAGTTCTTTTAGTGTAATTGTAGAAATGTCCAGCTTCAGCTGGAGCTTCTCGTGTCAAATCTGGACTGATTTTGATCAAGTAAAGGTCAGAATAACTGCAGTAATATCTCCAGATGAACACTTACTGGACTGAAGCAGCTCAGCTTTACTTGATTCTCCATCAATCATGTTTTAGAGTCTCAAATCTGATCCTCAGGATCTTTTGAGGAGCGTTTGTTTCCAGAAGCTTTACTTTCACTGTTCCTCAGCGGAGGAATGATCTTCACAAGCCTCCAGAACATCTCACATCTTCTGAGGAGCCTTTATTTCTTCAGCTCTCAATCACTGCATTATATGTTTTGAAATTGCCTATTTTTGATCAGTTTGGGCCTCAGAATAAAATCTGAGCTCATGTATCAAATATGACACTCAAAAAAAAAAAAAGTATTTATATTTTGTCTAAAGGTTTGATAAACTCTTCCATTTTCCTGACTATTATGTCACATGTCAGGCTTTGCAGGGTTAATATAATCAGACTGGTCAGGTTTGAGTAGGGTTTGTGAACACATTGACTCACCCTTCAGGTCTGATGGTGAAACCTCTCCATTCCTGAAAAGAACAAATACACTGTGTGTAAATATCAAACAGTTCATAAACATATATGCACAAACATCTTGTTTTAATGTGGATATCTGAAGGATCAGTGAGGTAGAGCAGGCCTTTGGAGGCAGATATAATTCACACTTTTTTGTATTATACATGTCTAAACCTATAAATGGATACATATACCATTTTACCGCCCATACACATTATAATAAAGGATGCTGCTGATGTTGTGTGTTCATACAGAGAGCTGTGTTGACTAAACAGGAGTGGTTTCGTGGTGTCACTGGTAACGCAGTAGTTCATGCCGTGAGCGTGTGATCCTGTAACAAGACACCTGATCCTCAGACACACGCACATCAACACATTAACCCATCACATTCTGTCACTTCAGAAGAATCACACTCTATACATGCTTATTAGACTTCTGCTTTTGTTTTTTGAGAAAACATGTCTGCTGTCAGACTATTTTAGTACAGTGTTCATCAGCATCAGCAGAACGACACACATTTGAGAATCAATAATGCACATTCACGTCAAGAAAATCATTTGGTTGTGGTATTTAAAAAAATAGAATGAATTAAAAAACAGTTTTTATTTAGCTTATCTTTAAGAGTGTCAGATCATGGGAGGTGTCATTAATGCTTATTAGAGCCCTATGATTACTGTAATGTGGAAAATGTGGACGGAATCACAGAGTCATAAAAATGAAATTTACAGTATAAAGCGGAATATCACAGAATTTGCTCAATTTAGGATGAATAAACCCAAAGTAGGTCTGTATACTTAATCAACTCACAATGTTGACTAGAGTCTGTGAATATTAAAGCACAAAATCTCTGTAAAAGTAAAAAATTTCATAGGCCACTATTATTGTTAGAATTGACCCTTTGCAGCGAGTTTGACTGACACGCGATCTGACCAATCATAACGCAGAATCTGCCGAATTTTGGTTTCAAATGGTGTTTTGACGTCTTTCTGCGGTTGAAACAAGATCCCTTCTGATGGTCATTCATGTTTATTTCCTGCTATAACTAGTAAAGAGGAAGAGAGGATCGGTTCACCTGCCGCTGGAACTGAGGATACAGCGATCCGTCACCACACATTAAACAGCCACAAAACAGTATTTATTCTTTGAATAGGTGTAACATGTCTAGTCTGTTTTCATTTCGTTTTCAGTCTGTTCCCTGTTCTGCTTTGCCTGAGTTCTGTTCGCTAGATTGTTTCCTATTACTCCCTCATCTGTTTCCATAGTTACTCATTAGTTCCTCATGTGTTCGTACATTATCTGCCAATGTATTTAAGCCCTGAGTCTCTTCTGTTCATTGTTCGGTCATTGTTCTGCATTTTCCCTGTTTCCTGAGCACTTGTGATTAAAAGTCTTTTCCCCTAAACTGTTCCTCGTCGAGAGAGTTTCTACATACCACGTTCCGTAACAATAGGGCCCTAGCTTCTTTTTTTATTTTTTTTTACTTTTAATGTGACAATGTTAGGTTTTTGTACTTTTATTCTCAATTATGTTTAAATTTATGTAAAATTATGTGCTAAATTTCCATTCTAGAAACCTGCACACACACTTCCAAGAATTAGACCAGTAGGTGTCTGATAGTCTTCTGATGCACAACTACATTCAACAGAAACAGAATCTCGGTTACAGTCTGACTGAACACACATAGATGAACACATTCACTGCTGCTGGCTTCAAATACTGCAAGGTCAATCCATCATCCATGCACCCTCAATCATGACTCTATGCTGACCCTTGTTTCAGAAATCACAGCTGTTGTCAGGGCATATATCATTGTCTGCTTGGCACATGCCACACAATGACAGGAAACACAGTGCCAGCTTCTCATATTACCCAGCGCACCCCTCCCTAAAGCAGACCAACCTCACACAGACACAGAGCCTGTCCTAGAGCTAGGAGTGTAACGGCTCAGATTGCTCATCTGCTTCAGTATGTGCTATGTTCAGGGGAAAAAAGATTTTTTAAAAATAACAACAAATAATAATCAAACTAAATGCAACAGCACAAATAAATATAATAGAGCAAAGATACAAATAAGATAAACAGGTGTCTAACAGTCATTTTCAGGCCCAGAAATTGAAAAGTAAACAAATGTAAAATAACAGTGCATATTTCACTGTATTAATTAAAGACCAATCCTTGTTGAAGTTGC